AAATTGAAAGAAATTCGAAAGGAGTAAAATTAAAAAAACCACTATTTAAAATTCGAATAGAAATTCTATCGAATTCTATCGATTCTTTTATCAAAGAAATCTAATTTGTAAACCTAATGCAAATTATTGATTAGAAAATTCGATTAAATTATTCGATATTAAAGAATTTCCTTTAAATATTTTTTACACAATGACAATGATTTCAACATTTTCTTAAAGAATATTATAATATTTTCTTTAGATGAGCCGACTGTTGACAAACATATCCGGTTACTTTTCAAAGACGACACACACGCGGTACACGACCCTACTTTAATATACTTTCTAATTTTACTTTTCCTCTTCTGCATTCCTCTCTTCTCCTCTTCACCCCGAAAGAAAAGCAGTTTGAGAAGCGTAATTGGTTTTTAAATAACTCATCTCCAAATGTCCTGTCTCTTTTATCTTCGTATTGTCGAAAAGAAACTGAAGAAACTCAAAATTACTAGTCTTACAACAAACACTTTTACTCCTTCCCCCCTCCCCCACAACACCTCATTAAAATTTGTTCATTTTATCTGACATCAACGTAGAAGAATTATATAAAATTATCTAATCGTTAAAACAAGTTCCTACATTATTTCTAATATTCGTTTCGAGTTGCAATCAATTTTGTTTAAACAATTATATGAATGAAGCTAATAATAAACTTCGATAGAAACATGAACAAGGATCGAGATTAATTTTCTTTCTTTTATCTGCTAAAAAATGTATAATCGATTTATAAATATCTACAAGAAGCAACAAACAGGGTCAAAAATGTTCAATACTCGCAATGAATATGATATGTTGATGATAAACTATAATAAATATATATTCGAGGAAACATTTGTACCAATATTTTTGTATTCCTAGATATTTTCATTATATTTTACGAATAACATTTTGAAATTTATAATTCATCTGATAATAGTTTGAAAGGAGACAATTTATTAAATAAAACGATAAAAATAGCATAATCGTCGAAAAGAAATAAATGATGATAGCGTAAAATTAAATAAGAAAAAAAAAAAGAAGTAAAAAAAACAGATACATACTTATAATTTACAAATAAATATAAAACATATATATATATATATATATTTAATTGTTTTTAAATTAAATGCCACAAAGCGTTTTTGTTCTCTTGCATGACAAATATTATTAAATTATTACAATTAAACAAATAAAAATAAACTTTATCTAATATGTGCATGTGTCTCTCTCTGTGTGTGTGTGTGTGTGTGTGCGCTCGCGCGCGCGAATCTCTGGATTCTCGTATATCAAATCGAAAAGAACATTAGGAAATTGGGTATATCATTTCACGCAAATCTAATGTTCTCAGAAAAAAAAACTCTTTTCTTTTCTAATGTAAGATTTATGAATTATTCAGTCTTATGGGATCGATGAAGAGTTTTTTACGGTCTAATCTCACATGTATTATTAATATTGGGAACGTCTTCTTATTAAAATACTAATGACTTTTCGCCGCACGAACAGCAAAGACAAAAATTAAAAGAATAATAATATAATAATATATAATATAATAATAATTATATTATATTAATAATAATAATAAAAATAATAAGAAAGAGAGAGAAAGAGAGAGAGAATAGAACGCTTTTAATTGGACCTCGGAATTAATTTCATTGGTCGAAATAAAAGCATTTATATATACATATATGTACATATATATAATATACATATATATTTTGTTATTTTTGTTAATTATTAATAATTTGTTGTTAATTATAGTAATTATCTAATTACTCTTAGGCATTATCGAGATATTATCTCTATTAATCTCTTAGGTCTTCTCACGAAATTCGCTTTTCGAAAGAAAATTAATCGGCGTCAATAATAATAATAGTAATAATAATAATAATAATAATAATCATAATAATAATAATAATAATAATAATAATAATAATAATAATAATAATTAAAAACATTAATAAGTAAGTGAAAAAATGTTTTTCTATCAAATTTCTGGCATTGAATAATCACGTATATCGATCGATGAACACTAAAGTGTGGTAATAATATGTTTATATAATCTAATAATAAGTAAAAAGAAACATGCATTTTTTAGCATGTTGCTCGCACACATTCATATCTCATTTATTATTATTATTATAATATTTATATATTTACAAAGTGAAATATTTTAATAATAAACGCACAGATTGAAATGATCAAAGAGTTTTCTTTTGTTCTCTTTTCTAAGGTACGATGCCTTTTTTCCTAAACAAATTCCACCTTCGGATATTTTCTCTTCCATTTGTTCTTTTTTAATTAATTCATTAATTAATTAATTCATTCATTCATCGTTCGTTCGATCGTTCGTGCTTTCATTAATTCGTTCATTCATTCAACAATTTGTTCGTTCATTCAAAAATTCATTTAATTAAATCATACTTTTAATTAAAACCACTTTTCGATTATCTCTTGTAATTTTTTGTTTTCTGTTATCCTGTCGTTAAAAATAAATAGTATAAAAATAATATTAAGATATTAACAATGAAAAGGACAATAAATTAAACAATGTCACACAACTTATACAATGTATATAATAATACACATTAACGCTGATCATCAAAAAATTCCATCGATTATTTAGTTAACAAATTAGTAGAATCGATCGATATTTTCTTCTTCTTCTTCATTTATTTCGAACACCTTACGACTTATATTAATCGATTTAAGTCTACTAATTATCAGGTAAATATCACAATCTACGCGATAAGACGTTATTTCCGTATACGCTTACCCTAGGAATTATACAAGGGGCGGGCCAAAAGCTCTTAGCTAAAAGCCAAATATTCTCCAAGTGAAGTTCAAAATCAATGAAAGTAGAGCTTCGATTATTAAAATTAATCGTTAAATTACTTTTGTTTGATAAACGGTCTGAAAGAATGAAATTCTTAATTATGTCATAAATCGATTAAAAATACACCAATGTTTTCATCCGAATAGATTATAAGTGAACGAATACATACCTAATAATTAAAAAAGTGCAATATAAAAAATTAGGTGTTCTTAGATATTGCCAAATTCTGAATTCCTTTTAGTATGAACATTTGTATAACATCTATTTCTTTTTGATGTTTTGCCCATTTGAAGACAATATTCAATGCATTTATAGCTTCTTTATGCGTTGGAATGCTACTATTTCTCGTTATATCTTTATTTTTACTGATATTTGTATTATCACTTGTTTTAAACTTAATACTTGGATTAATTACATCTTTGCTCATCCATTCCTGAATACAATGATACCACACACGTATATATATATATATACATATATATATTCTAATTTCAACAGCAATCTTTTTCTTTTAATACTCATATATAAATGAAATCCAATTACCAGACTAATTGTAAATTTAGAAAAGATTTACAACTCGTGTCCCAGGAGCGGAACTACAATACCCTGGCTTCTATAACGCGTAGGGGCCCGAAGTTTGGAAGGACCCCAAATTGTTCTTTTTATTATTTTTTAATTTTATACAAATTATCTCTAATTTTAATAAGATTAAAAGTATATTGACCTCCTAAAAAAACATACATTTTGATGTTCATTGAATTTTTTAAGTGCTACCTTCGAAAAAACATTAACAAAATCTTAATCCTATAGAAATATCGATCAGAAAAATTATACATTTTAAAACATTAAATACCAGTATTATAATATTTTTTATACAATATAATATAAATTCTTTTGTTTTTGTTCTTTAAAGTCCCAAAATTATATTTTGCAAATAAGACCCGAACATTTGTAGTTCCGCTACTGTACTGTCCCATAACATAAAAACTTCGTTAAATACATAGTTGAAGTACGTACATATGTGACACATTTTATATTCGGATAATCAAAGCTCTACTATGTACTTATTTCCCCAGACTTTTTACAATTAGTTTAGACATTGTAATTAGGCTTGCAATTTAACGAACTAAACTTATAGTAACACAATTCACAAAAGAAATGAATCTACAAAATTTCCAAAAGAAATAATTGACTTTGAAAATCACCTAAGAACTTTTGGCTCACCTAGAAACTTTTGGACCACCCTATATATTATTATCTCTGCCCGTTTATCTTTCTCTCTCTCTCTTTCTCTCTCTTTCTCTCTCTCTCTCTCTCTCTTTCTCTCTCTCTCTCTCTCTCTCTCTCTCTGTCTCTTTCTTTTTTTCTTCAAATTAGTTGAAATAAGAAAGAGAGAGAGAGAGAGAGAAAGAGAGAAAAGAGGGAGAGAGAGAAAGAGAGACGATTAAATGAATAGATTAAAAAAATATCTAGCATTTTTTATCTCTGTTGCTATAGAGAGGGGAGAAAGAGAGAAAAAGAAAGAAAGAAAGAAAGAGAGAGA